ACTGCTGCCATAATCACTAAAAAATTGAGAAGCTGAGAAAAAAATTGAGAAATTGAGAAGATTAGAGCAACTCAAGCATCCACCTTATTCAACCAACCTAGAGCCAAATGATTTATAATTCTTTGCTGAATCAAAACGAGGACATGCATTTGAAAATACTCATGCCATACATTCGCATGTGTTAAAAAGACTTCAGGAAATGAGTCAAGAAGAATTCTGTGAAGTTTTTGAAGGAGGTTCAAGAGGCAAAGCGTTTGTGTCTAGAATGGGGGAAATTATGTAAACAAATTGATAAATTGGCGGCGAATTTCAGGCGTATAGTTATAACTTATATTATAACTATGTTTAAGCATCCATTTTAAGTCATGAACATGATAGAATCTCTTTTAAAAACATTTAAAACATGCAAATATACTGCAGTTATTCCACCTGCCCCGCCTTAGCGCTACTCGCGTTTCTATGACAACCACAGAATCAACCAATCAAATCGCCTGGAGCTGAAACTCCAACAATAAGTTAAAATATGTTAAAACTATCATCTCTGAAACTTTCAATGCAATCCATGAATAAATAAAAAAGTTATGACATTATTATCGTTATTTCCTGAACACCCTGTATATGCAACAATGTAAACGAAGCTTAATGGACATTGGATGTTTACAACTGAATACAATTGTTTCTAAAAAATAACACATGAAAACAATTTTATCCGTATTAGTGCTAAAAGGGTTAAAATATTAAAGAAACAAATAATCAGTGTCTAGAAATGATAAAATCTGTATGTGCAACATTGTAAATGAAGATAAATGAACATTGGATTTTTACAATTGAATACAATTGTTTGAATAGCTAGAATAATGCAAGAAAATATTTTATCAGAATTAGTGTTCAAGGGGTTAAAATAGTGCAGAAGCACATAATCCGTAGTCAAAAAAGTATATATGAAACAGTATAAATGAAGCTTACAACTGAATGCAATTGCCACAATAACACATGAAAACATTTTCATCAGTATTGGTGCCATAAGGGTTAAAATAGTATAGAAGTACACAATCAGAAACATGTAAAATGTATGTATGTGTCATTTGCAACTTTGTAAATCAAGATAAATGAACATTGGATATTTACAATATAAAACTATTGTTTGAATAGAAAAATATAAGTGTTTAAAGGGTTAATTCCTCTAAATCAATATATATCCAGTTGAGAAAAGCATAAACATTTACGTAGATTAGCACATTATATAACTGTGTATGTTGGATTAACATTATCTATTTGTAAATTATTTAAAAAAATCATTTATGTCATGAGCTCTTGAAATATAGTGAAATACTGAAAAATATGGCAAATTTTGATATTTTTTCTGAAAAAATCAATGATTTCCGAAAAAACAAATACAATGGCATTTTATCCTTTACTAAACCAAGTTTATAATAAAATTAAAAAAGAGAATCAAAATATTTTATTTTACCCATACAATTTTAAGATATGTAGTATAGCCCCGCTTTTTAACCAACTTTTAGGATTCAAAGGGTTAATTCTTCAAAACCGTTATTCGCACAAATGCCCAAAAAATTCTGAAGATACTACAGATATTTATATATAGTAATATGTATTCATCATCACGATAGACTAGGGAAAGGAACTTTTAAAAAATATTTTGTCAAGCCACCCCTATGTCAGAAAATGGAAAGAGGGCCCCACTATAATAGCTAATTAAAAATACGCTGACCACTTTTGAGACAAGCACCTCATATATTCTTGGAGCCTAGGGTATATGCTAATGGTTGAAAGAGTAAAATTCCATAACTTTTACATTTTCAGTGGGACCCCGTCAGCAACAGGAGTATCAATTAAATTGCTAAAACTGAAGGCTTTAGGTTTGCAGTGGGATGCTGACCCTTTTAAACGTTAAACGAAGTATATCTATCTCAAAGCATTAAGACCAAATTCTAAATATTGTATATCTAATATACTATTAGTATTGTTATGAGTATTGGCTCTCAATTTGTATTTTTATTCAATTTGTGTTGTAATGACTCGAGTATAATGTGCTACTTGGTGTAATGGTCTGGGAATGATGTTTATACTTAGCTCGTGGGTCGGGAGGGGTTGAGAGACGTTTGACTTTGGGATTGCTAGGGTTTCTTATGTCACCACCAAGAGTGGTATGACATATTGTTATAGTTTCCAACATAAAGTCCATTGACAGTACATATTCGGCGTTCGGTGTATGTAACAAATATGCGTTCTGGCATTTTGCATGTTAATGCTTTGATATTCCCTTATATTAGTATACTCTTGAACACATTACATTTGTTGCTGTGCCTTTTTTATTCCACTTGTGCGTTCCTGTTTTGTTACTTCAGAATTCAGATTTTTTATTAATGTGTAGCAAACAGTATAATATAACAATTATATTTGTCACTGTGATGCATTACATCGATTCATTTTTACATGATTGCCGACATTTCTCAAAGATCATGTAGTCAATCAAATGTTGATAATATGGTCCTTATATAAGCAACCAATTCATGTTCAACCATATGCAACAATTTTTAATCGCAGACGGTGTTAGACAAGGAAGAACAACGAGTCTCCCTTTATTGGCAATTGATCCCTGAATACAGCTGTCCATATCTCAAAATGTATTACAACTAATTTAGTAAAAAAGTGTCATATTATAACCATATGTTATTCACAGGTAATAAAGGTGCCAATATATTGATTGCTTCACCAATATCTCCAAAACGACATAAAATGGTGAAACATTGATTTTTTATAAGGTATTTTAAGGAACACATACCGCAAAATTATAGCCAAGAAACTTGATGTATATATTAAAAATATTTCCATGTGATTTTCTTTTAACGTTTGTACTTTAAATTATGAAAAAAATACGAAAAACCGTTTACACGTTTTTTGACCCCTGATAATGACATGCATTATTCGGCCTAAAAGCCCGCCGTATTTATCACGGCTATAAAAAAATAAAACGGAGGACACATGTAGGTATCTAAATAGAAGCTCAAATATCGTTATGCAGATATGGTGCCACCAACTCCTTAATTGGACGTCCTAGAAATTTCATACAATGGACTATAAAGATAGACGATTCAAATGAAAATGACAATTCAATAAAGAAATACATTGGTAAGACCTTTGAGTTAAGAAAGGCCCTTATTCTTAAAGCAACCATTGGGCACACAAAAAGTATATGTGCCCTGGGTCAATGGTCATATATTATCAACGTCTAACCTTTTTATTTTTATCAAAATAACTAATATTTTATTTCAATGTTTTTCCTACCCATTTTAACGGGCCATTTGAATATCAAATCTAAGTTGAAATATAACAATATAGCAATACCAGTTAACATATTGTGAGTACAAATTAACAAAGTAGACAAATTTGCAGTCACTAAAATGTCCAATAAACTAAAGCATTTGTAAATATGTTTTGATCAAAGATTGTCATTGGTTTTAATAGTCGATGAAATAGCCTGTGTTGTTACATGCGTTGACAAATAACTTGTGTTGTGACATGCGTTGACAAATAGCTTGTGTTGTGACATGCGTTGACAAAAAACTTGTGTTGTGACATGCGTTGAGAAATAGCTTGTGTTGTGACATACGCTGACAAATAGCTTGTGTTGTGACATACGTTGACAAAAAGCTTGTGTTTAGACATGCGTTGACACAAAGCTTGTGTTGTGACATGCGTTGACAAAACGCTTGTGTTGCGACATGCGTTGACAAAAAGCTTGTGTTGTAACATGGGTTGACAAAAAGCTTGTGTTTTGACATGCGTTGACAGATATGTCATATTGAAGGGAACACCGCCATTATTTGCCTTAAATTTATTGCACACCATTACTCCATCATAGTTAGTCAACGGGACTATAACCTTTTTTATGTTTTGTGGTGCCACTATGACTAAGTAAAAGTATTGGTTTCTCACTTAAATCAAGATCATTCTAGTACCAATATGTACCTTGGATGTTTGTGCATTTAGAAATGGCAACGTCTACCCAATGAGTGTACATTATATCAACGTAATGTATGACACATACACACACACAACATTGCTCGTAAAACCATTTACAAAAGTGTTCTAGCAGAGACGCTAATTATCTTCTTGACTATAAATTTTATTTGAAGATACATTGTCTTAATAGCAGGTAAATGTGTATATATATATAGAACACGGAGCTGGCAATTGCAATATCGAAAAGATTATGTATTAAAGTTTATACATGTTAGTACATGTCACGTACGCCGGTGTTCTATATCCCTAATGTCTGCAAAGGGGATCAAATTGGCCCATTTTGATAGTATTTCTTGCAGTTTCTGTGCCTCGGTTATTTGTCTACCTTGCACCACAGATATTAGACACATTTTTGCATGACAATCAAGGTGATTCGGGTAAGGGGGGGGATGTTCATAGTCGGAAGTCGATGCCAATTAAAATGAAATTCATAAAATATTGTTACCTTGTTTCTGAGGATGTAGGAAATGCAAAGTTATCAGTATTGCTCTGTTTGATGAATAATCATTTAGCACATTGAATTTCCTTTCCAACATGCTTTCATGAAAATGAATATCGTGTAAATCTTTACAGGTAAAATACTGATACGATCCTTCTGAATTATCTTCTTTTATTCTAACCTGATGGACCCTGAAAATATGTGTGCACTGAAAGTAAGAAGCACTTGTTTAGAAGAGATATTGTGCTACTTTCGTACTATACTGTAACAGAAGAGAAATGGTCTGCCAAGGATCCCTGTGATAAGAAAAAAACATAGAGGGTGTTAAGCAATTGCAGGTGGTGTGACACTTGCTCAAGCTAATAACTTCTTGTAATAACGGTTGTAACTTGAAGTCGAATGAAGGAAGTAATTTGTCTACAAATATAACAAAAAGTGATAGATAGTAATAAGCAGTATAGCACCTTTCACATCAACCTTGCATATATAATTTAACAATGATTTCTTAATTAAGGTCGAGCAAATGACACCTTCAGAGTTAAAACACTGGTTCAAGACGACGATGTCCTATTTCAAGACTACACAGAAAAAGTTAAATACATGAAGAAACTCATGCTCCAGGGACTCAAGATGTACGGCGAGGTGTGTTCGAATATAGTTAAGATCACACAAAGTGAGATAAACTTGTGTATGGATAAATTTGCCGCCAAAAACAATAACCCGTTCAATTACGACGACGCTGTTGAAACGATGATCTTGAAGATTGTTGCAGAGGTTGTAAGTATTTCTAAATGTTTTCAATAGATACGAGTATACATTAATAGCTACTATTACACTGGAGAAACAATTAAGGATGTGTTGGGAAAACGTTTATGAATATTTTGCAGCAGTAAATAACATGTAACCTGCAGCATGTGCATATTGAATGATGATGCAAATTGTAAATTAGTCGTCCGTTATGCAATTTCAAAAATTGATTTGCTCTAACAAATATAGAAACGTTTTTACCGTATGGAAAATTGATTTAGCGAATATTAATATTCCATCTACTGAATATATTTGAATTTAAGGAATAGAGAAGCAAAAACAATACCTACAGTATCTGCTGTTGTTGTCTTGTCTGGTCTGGAATACTTTTAGAGCATTTGTCATTTGATGCGACGTGAAGACCTAGGTATCTCTGTCATCAGGTATACTGACATTATTATGTCTTCATTCGTACTTTGTGTAACATGTATTTTAGATAGGCGGGGTTCAACTAACTGACGACCACCCTCATATCAAAGGCCTTGCCGAGATGACATATAAAGCTGGAAGAGCACTGTCAGCAGGCAATGGCGAAGAACTAGACATATTTCCATGGCTACGGTTTTTCGGAAATCAGAATTATAAACTACTGAAGGAGTCATGTAGACTAAAAGCTACTGTAATTGGGGAAATGCGGACAGAATGTGAGGTATATTTAGATTGATATTGGTGATAGTTAATGTGCTACTATATGTTCATTATACGTATAACACTTCTGAATTTCTTTGCTTACGACTGCATACATAATTCCAATGTATTTGTTATTTATTTATAATGGTTATTACGATTAAGTTACCTTACATACTTTGTATTGTATTCTTTAATACATTAGAGTCTTGTCATACGCTTAGTGAATAGTACAATAACGTCATTTCTGCGGGCAATAAAGTGAAATATTGGACCGAGGGCAAGGTCCAATATTTCAATATATTGCCCGCAGAAATGACGTTATTAGTATTATTACCACCGTTAATGACCAGGACTGAAATAGGAAGAAAATCTTAGCACTGAACGATATCTAATTTCCCGGGGAAATGAATGAATGCCTTCTAAACTAGCACTAGAACCCCTATTTTGCCTACATTCGTTTAAATCGATGGTAACCTGGTGTTATTGCCCGACTAGTTTTATTTATTTCTGTACAATGACAATTAAAAAAAAATAATAATAAATCAATAAATGAAATAAACCTCACATTCCTCGATACATTGCGTATTACACTACTTACCATGCATCACTCCTTCACCATACAGTACACTCTTAATCATAGTTTACTTTCTTAACCATACATTACATTCTTTGTCATAATTTGCATTCTTTATGGTACATTACATTATTTTCACACATAGTATTCTTTACCAAAACTAACATTTTCATCATACATTACATCATCTACTATTCGTCACATTCCTTAATGCATACATTATATATCATACATATTACATTATATGTACGTTATGTGATAAAAATGTAAAAGACACCATCCAACATAGACTTTTTGTTTGCCCTTTCTTTGGTAATGATAGAAATACTTTTTATAAAAATGTTATTGAAAAATGTAATCCAGCACTATCGTCGGGTCTTCTATCAGCCAGTGTGCAAATTAAAACATGTTGGGCCTTAGGTGAGGACATTTTTACATTGTGGGGACAAGAAGAAGCTTTTAAGTTCGATAAATGTGTAAAGGGTCTTTTAAAATGTGTATATAAACCCCAGACCCAATAACATGTTTTAGTTTCTTATATATAATGCCTGTAAACTGATATATGCTTTTAAATATTTTGCCTATGTCTGGAAGAACCATTTGTGTTCCGCTGTAATAAAAGCGTTTCCAATAAATAAATAAAAAAATATATATATATTATCGTTTATCAAGGCTTTCATTCTCTACCATTGATTTTGTTTATTCTTTATCATACATTACATTCATGCCCATACAGTGCATTCTTTGACATTTATTGCATTTGTAAGTACTGTCATGCATTACATTCTTAGTAATACATTACGTCCTTCATAAGAATTAATTAACTATAATATAAAGATCGTATTGTTTAACTCGGTGAATATTTCATTTCGGATTGTTGCAGAAATCACTTGAATCCAACCACAGCGTCATGGGAGTGTTCATAAAAGCCCAGAGGGACCCCTTAACACCACACCAAATATCAGATTCTAACATTATTGAGGTGTCAGGGGATCTCATTAGTGCAGGATTAACCACAACAAAGGGCACGATCTCTGGTTTCTTTCTTCTATTAATGAACCATCCAGATATTCAAATAAAACTTCAAGAAGAAGTTGACAAAGTAGTTGGCAAAGACCGGAATCCAAGTGTTGACGATAAACATGACATGCCCTACCTTCAAGCGACGCTTATTGAAGTGTTACGTTATTTGTCCCATGCACCAATTGCCGTCCCCCATAAAACAATGGTAGACACAAGCGTTGCAGGATACCATATCCCAAAGGGAATACAGGTACTATGTCTTATTTAATTTTTCTAATTACAAATGAGATTAATGGTAAGGAAGACGACACATTTTAAAAAATGTTGAATATCGAGTGTCTATTTTTATATAAATTCACCTACAGCCACGGTTACATTGCTTAATCTCATATCTGTAATAGATGTTGACACTTGGTTAGAATGTAACAAATAAGAATACAATTAATGCTTATAATTACTTTTAAGGTTTGGACGAACATATTTGCGATGCACCACGATCCCTCATTGTTTCCCAATCCTTGGCAGTTTAACCCAGAACGCTGGTTGGATGATGACGGTAAACTTGTATCTTTAGAGGAACGAAACAAGTCAGTAATCCCCTTATCATGAATTAAATATTAATCTTAATTTTAATCCTATGAGCCTATTTTAGTAAAAGAGCACGAAAGGTATGGCAAGCCATTTTCAAAGGGCTATATCTTTAGTTCGAAGAATAAGTTAACCACAAAATCAAATGGTTCTGTTAGATCCATGTCTTATCTTCAATAAATGACATAAGGATGATAATCAAGTTGGTTGAATTATCTCTTAAGCTGTCCCTAATCCACCCATCCTCACCAATTTTCCCTAATTCAGATGCAATTTTCACCAAAAGTGCAGGCCTTTTTAATAATTTTTAGTGCAAAGTTGTATTGAACTTTAAGACATGATTTAAACTGTAAAGTGGAAAAGTTAATTGTAAACCTACTTTTTGATATTTTTTTCGTGATTTTTTCGTATTTTTTTCTGATATTTTAAAGTGCTTCATACTAATATTATACAATTACAAAATAGAGGGCAGCTAAGTGCCATAAATAATTTGTTTGTTACAACACTCAGATAGTGACTTACTCAGCGTTATGGATTATAATCCTGTATTTAACCTTGTATTGTTTGTGTATAAAACAGTTGTGTCATTCACGTATAGCTATTTATATACTGAATAGTTCTTTGTAATTACATGTGCCTGGTTTTGGCTATTCAACCTAGATTCTTTGTTAGATTTTTTTTTATAGGTTATTGTTATTTATTTCTATAATATTCAACATAATTATTTACATAGATTGTGAGGGGCCGAGGCTATACATATCATTATTGCCCCCCCCCTCTAGAAAGTTAAAAACATATAATAAATCACTGGAGTGTGTAGGATTGCAACGGACAGACGGTCGTCCACCAGGTCTTGCCCATGATGATATATATGAGTGTTAATGAGAGATGATGTGAAATGAGGAGGATGGTCATTCTAAGATGTTATCGATATAATTAGAAGATAGTTGAAGGCATTTTGTATTCAGTTCACTATTTAAATTTTCATCTCCATAAAGTATGAATTCTATTTTTTGCTTTCTGGTTTTTCCAAAATAGCACATAATATCAAGATTGTCTAACTTTAGGATGTTCTGTATGTAATCATTTCTATGTATGGCGGTTAGAGGGCAGTCGAGTAAAAGATGAATCGTATCTTGATTTCGGTGGCCGCAGGGGCAAGAAGGATCTATGATGTTGTTGAAATTATGTCTAAAAAAGTCACTTTTAAGGGCAAGGTCGCTTCTTATTTTATTAAGTTTAGTTTCAGAAGACCTTTTCAAATTAAGATTTTTTGTTAAAATATTCTTTTTATGAAATGTATATTTCTTATTATAGTTTTTCTTGAAGATTGCTAGGGTTGGCGATGTTTTTATTTCAGTTGAAAGATTTTTCCAAATGGAGATAGGCTTTATGGCTGGTGAATTTAGGTATTTCACAGACGCTCTCACTGGTAAAACATATTCTCTTCTGGAGCGGAGCTCCCTTTCGACACCAGGATTGGACAGTTTTTCATATATAGAGACTACATAAGAGGGGTCAAATTTGATCGGACTTTGAACATGTGAATACTTTGTTTTTCTTCTCTTCTCTCCGCTAGGGTTTTCCAGTTTAAACATTTATATAATTTTTGCTTGCACGTTCCATAAATCACCCCGGAAACTATCAGGGCTGCTCTGTAATGGAGTTTGTCTAGTTGTTCCAGAGCACCTTGCGACGCCGAACCATAGATTAAAGAGCCGTATTCGATTTTAGAGAGGATGAAAGAAGTGTACATTGTTTCAAGATGTTTTGAGTTTACTCTCATTTTCAATGCTGATAGGGGATTTAGTAGTTTGTCAATTTTTGCTCGGACTTCGTTTATATGAGTTTTAAAGTTTAAGTTTTTATCAAGAGTTACGCCTAAATGTTTATGTGAATCGACTCGGTCAATTGAATTGTTATTAAGTGTCAAAATTGGATATGGCCTTTCAAAGACGGTTTCTTTACAAAATATTATTTCTTTTGATTTTGAAGGCTTGAAGTTCATTTTCCAAGTTTGTGACCATTTAAAAATATTGTCAAGATCTTTTTGGAGGATTTCGTGAGTGTTCTGAATTTGATGATCTCTAGGTACAGGTAAGTAAATGGAGGTGTCGTCTGCATAGATGTAAGATGTTGAGTCAATTACTTCCGGTAAATCATTTATGTATAATAAGAAAAGGATCGGCCCAATTTGGCTCCCTTGAGGCACCCCGCTGTTTATGTAATTGTCTTCTGATAAATTTGATAAGATTCCGTTTACTCTAGTTTGAACTTTTCGATTTTTAAGATATGAGCTTATGGGATTCAAAGTGTCCGCACCAAAACCATATGATTTTAGTTTATGAGTCAAAAGGGCATGCGGGACTTTGTCGAAGGCAGATTCTACGTCAAGGAAAATTCCTCTGACGTCACAGTTGCGGTCAAAAGATTCATTAATAAAATTCGTTATTGCTGTAAGTTGGAAGTCGGTGCTGTGACCGGGTAAAAAACCAGATTGGTTATTATAAAGTAAATTGTTTTCAAGGAGATGGGTCAAAATTCGATTTTGGATGACTTTCTCAAATACTTTGGATATTGTATTTAATAAAGCAACTGGACGGTAATTTGCTTTATCTGAACGTACTCCTTTATTTTTGAAAATAGGACATATAGTGGCGAGTTTCTTTGTTAGATTCATTGTTATATTAGGGCAGGCTTAAATGAATAAGTGTGAAAATAAAATGAATTACAGGGTGAGGCAAAAATGTCATCCAAAGAAATGTTATTAACTCATTCATCCAGTATTAGTTGAAATCATATTTAGTTAATTTTACCATGTAAAATCTTTTTGCATTTTACCATGTTTCATGGGTCCATTCCTCAAGGTCACAATTCTATGGCCATTTTACAAATTTCAGCCTCGTCCCTTCAGGCAGACCTGCACTGGTCGGTTGAGGTTGTAAGTTCATGGTCACAGAAATTGTTCTCCTACTTGTTGTAGGGGTTGACATTATCTCAGAGATAGCTCGTAGTCATGAGATGAGGCTGGCATTTTGGACCATGTTTCGTTTTATAGCCATAAAATCCCGACTATTGGGGCAGGGCCAATTAAACTTAGTAAAATGAAAGAACATTAAACAAGGTTTTATTATGCGAAATAACATTTTAACAGATGCGGAATTAGTTTGGGCTACATTTTTGGCTCACTCGGTATTAGACTACACTTTGATAGTATTTATGATGTCATATGTTGGGTAAAAGGCGATGATTTAACCTACTGTTGATGGCAAATTCATTTTAATATGAATGAAATAGTGGCAGGTACTATTTATATTTAATGAGCCATAAAATAGTAGGTTGATCTGGCAGTTGTTAGTTGAATTCGCTATTACTACTTGTAATGGGGTTTCAAAGCCCTTGGTCACCTATGTAGTTTCTTCATCCTAGGTCAAATCGACTCAAGAATGGTGTTATATTAGATGCAGCATTTATTGATTTCTGGAATCACAGCACCCCTAAGCGTAATCATAATTCCGTCGATTGACCTACAGCATAGGCCTAGGGAAAAGTAGTAGGAAGGAAGTTTACTCTTTACTACTTTTACATAGACCTATGGCCTAAAGATAAGTTTGGGATCCCTTATTAAAACCAAAACCTCATTGAACCCAAAAGCATTTTTATGTGCCTATATAACCTATAATGAGACCCCCTTTAGTGAATAACAACCAGGTAGTCATCTAAGGTATAACATTAACAACATGTTCAGTTTGTAATTTTATAGAAGGTCACTGAATCCTCTAATCGTTCATTCAGTTACGGATAAACTATGAGTACTGGGTTTTATGAGAAATAATAGCAGAGGGGCTTGGCCTGAGGCTATTAGTTCTCATATGACCCATTTCGATTAGTTTATCTAGCTTAAACTCCACACTGATTCTTATGAAGGGTAACTGACCCATGATCCAAGTTTAGAAATATTCTTTTGTATTAACTATGTGGTAAATGTGTAGAGAAGTGGGTTGGTTTGATTGGTTCTGCTTCAATGCACTGCATGTATCAGGCAAGGTACATTGAAAATTGTATTTATTTTGTGTTTACAATTCAACTATTGAGTGATTGAAAATGGTTTAATAAGAACAGCTTCGGTGCACTGCATGTGACAGTCAAGGTGTAAATATTGAGCCAAACACTGTCAATCATATTTTGTGCCACACTGGTTTTAGATAGCTACAGTGTCCATTCTTCAAAAACAATACAACAAGAATGCACTCCTCTTTCTTACTACTGTACATTCATATTCTTTAAGGTGAAAACGGTCTTAAATTGACCAATGTTTCAAAAATTCAAATCTGACTTTAAATTTTACAATTGACCTTCAATGACCTTCTCAAAGTAAAGAGGGTCTAAAAGGTATTTTTCAACTTGCTTCGAATTGACCGAATTTTCAAAATAACCTACAAGTTCTCAAAAGTCAAATCTGACTTTTGAATTGACATTTGACCTCTCAAGTTCAAAAAGTTCAAAAGGCATTTTTCAACTTGCAGCTTCATATAATCATTTTCTTTTCAAGATTTGACTTGAACTACACGGTGATGACATTTTGTAATGGCAATGCCTTGTTCTACATGTTGTTATTTCATGATTTCTTTACGAAGTATTGGCTTCGTACCTCATACCCATGTACGTGGGTGGTGATGCAGTTTTTGAAGGGTTCACTTTTTAAAGTTTTAAAAGATTATTCAATTTTAATGCTATATGAGGTATAAATACATTCATAGTATCCATAGATGTGATCTTCGTCTAGTGAAAGATAGATAGATACAGAGTCATAAAATAAAGCCAGAATTGTTAATTTTTTGTTTTTCATTGATTGTCAAAATAGCGCCATTCAAAGGACTTTTCAATAGAGAAAATTCCATTCTAAATAAGTTTTAAATATGTCAGGGTATCATTTTATTTAATCACAGCATGATTAAAGATAATTGTAGTCTCAGGAATCGTAAATTCACGTTTTAGT